CCTGCTGAGAAATAATTTCAAGGTGGGTCTCCAAAACATGGCTGGTAGTTGGGGAAGATGTGCTCTCTTCCTCAAGAGAGTGCAGCTGAAATTGTGTAGTCCATATTCTTTCATACTGCACAAATGAGAAGATAGGTAATCCAGAGAACACAGGAAGTTTCATCTTATGTTCTGTTTGGCCGTTGTTTCAGAGGATGAACTGTGATTAGGATCAAAACTGCTGTGAATTGGACTTTGTATTCCACGAAATAGATTAGGTTCTGCCACTTACTGTCTTTTAAAGGCTATTCTTAATAATTAAGAATTCATTACAACTTTTACAAAAAGAAGTTTGTGATATTTTATTTTCTCCTTTCCCTGAAAACTGTTCTCTAGCCGGACATGTATCCAGGAAACTGCTGGGCTTTCAAAGGATCACAAGGGTATCTTGTAGTTAGACTTTCAATGAAGATCTACCCAACTGCCTTTACAGTGGAACATATACCAAAAACACTTTCGCCAACAGGAAATATCACCAGTGCTCCTAAGAACTTTTCAGTATATGTAAGTCTGTCTTTGAAATTAAGTTGTTAATGTTTGTATACATAAAGAATATTTGTGTGTTATATCCTGGAAAAATGAGCTCAAGAGAGGAACAGCAAAGAGAAATTGATGTTTCTGTTGTTGCCCTCAGAATTGCTTATGTTCTTGAAGAGCTTTCAGATGCAGGAATGACAAGTGGTAAAACTAATTCTGAGGGAGTTGTTTCTTTTGCCTTGCTTTTTACGAAAGAAAACCCTTTGAGGGGAGAAGATACTGTTTTTATGACTAACATCAAATTTTGAGAACTCTATTAGTCTCGTATGCCTCTCTTTTCCCCTTCCCCCTCCACACGTACAATTTGGCTCTTCACCTTACCTGTGATACTCCTTAAATCTTTTTTTTTAAATATAGCTTAACTTTTGTAGGCACTGTTGCGTAACAGAAAGCTACAGGCTGCACTGTAGTATAGTTAGTTATGATGCCTGAAGACTTGGTTTGTCCAGCTCTTTCAGATGCTTAAGATAGCAGTCATCTGCAGATATCTAGTTCTTGGCTTCCTCTTGTTTATAACCGTGATGTTTTCTCGTTCTTGTTAGTCCTGAGCAGTTTATATTGTGCACTGTGATAGTGGTTTTGCTATAGGCTGCTGAATGCTGCTCGTTGATTAAACGGTTACGTAGGCATGCATCTAGTTTTGCTTTGGTTTCAAATTTGAAGGGATCAAAACTCTTTGCCCCCTCTTTTTATAGGGTCTAGATGATGAATATCAAGAAGAAGGTGTGCTTCTTGGACATTACTTTTATGACCAAGGAGGAGAGCCACTGCAGATGTTTCCAGTAAAGGTAAGTCTGGATGACAGGATTTAAAGTGTCAGGAGATAGTCTATTATCTGTGGTAGTGCCTAATAACCAACGAAGAAAAGGACCCCATTCTCTTTTGGGCATTGGTACAGGTAGAGATGGAAAGTATCTGCCTTAAACCCTATGATCTAAATAGACGGGTCGGGGAGCAGGGGGAAGGGTTGTGCCATCTGCACACAAATGGTCTGGAGACGCTAAACATCTGAAGAGTGCTCCATGCTTTTCCTTCACAAATAAGTAACGTAAGGAAAGGAAAGCTCTATTTAAAATGGCAGAAAGTTTCCAAGGTATAATTTAGCTATTGATAAAGGTAATATTTGCAGGAATCTGAAAAAGGGACTTTAGTTGTGCACATATCTATTAGAAGCCTGACTGTAGTTTGTTTGCTTCTTCCTTCTCCTTCAGGAGGAAAATGAAAACGTATTCCAAATAGTGGAACTGAGAATTGTTTCTAACTGGGGACATGCAGAATATACATGTCTCTATCGGTTCAGAGTGCATGGGAAACCAGCTGAATAATCTCCTACACTACAGCTCTTTTTTTTTCTCTCTTGTTGTACATTTTATTTGCAATTTGTATATACTGGAAAACCTAGAACACTGGAATCTTTAAAGGATGAGATTGTGAGATGTATACTGCAGAATTACTGATCCTCTGATAAAGGCAGAAGACTGTCAGCAGAACTGTATTAACATAACTTTTTATTTGCTCTGGTGCTCAGTTTGTAATTGCCAGTTAGCTTTATATTTTTGTGTCCATGCTGAGAAAAATATTGCATGCAAACTGCTCTGGTTCATAAAGCCCAGTTAGCAAACAGGTGATACCTATTTTATTACAAATGAATGTATAGGTTTTTTAAAAGAATAAACCACCTTTTCTGCAACTAGGAATCTGTTTTTTTAATCCAGGATTCAGCTGCATACTTCTGTTAGCTTGGCACCGGGAGCCAAAAACTGTGGTACACTTTTAAGCACTGACTGTGGCTAGAGGTGTGCTTCAGATAACCCTTGTCTTTGGCCTTCTTGGTGGATCTGAAAGGGCTTATTTAAATAAATGTTGAATATGATAAATATTACTGTCAGGGATAGTTAATACAACCAAAACTAGTTTAAACACCAGCAAATGAGAATGCTTCACTGTAACTTGTGGCCATGAGTTCACCTAAACGTCAGGGGTAATTTTAACTGAAATTATTTTAAGGGGTTTTTACCATAGCAACTTGTTTAATTGCTGCATACTAATATTTACTAAGCAATTTAACAGGCTTAACATCTCCAGTCCAGCTAGTCAGCGCATCAAGCCTGATTTGGAACCAGCACTGGGGAGAGGTACAATCTTCACTTGCCAAAAACGATCTTTTTAGGAAAAAACTCATTAGGCTGGTTCATTTTTATAGTCAGTAAATGTTGTGCTGTGATGATGCGGTATGTGAAAATAAGACTATGAAGTAAGCCTTACTACTCTGCATTTACAAGAGAGTTATGCTCAATATTGTTTGTTTAAACTTTTAGCATTTTTAAATCATTCCCGGAAGATTTAGTTATAAGAACATTAGAGTGACTTGCTCTCACAAGCAGCGTTTTCATGCAGAACTGAACTGGACCTTATGTTGAGGTTACGACTGCTTATTGCTCCCCTCAGGATTGCTACTTTGAAGTTCCCTTTCAGAAAAGATTCCTAAAATGTACTTGTATGCAGGAATTTTATCTTGCTGTTATATAATTAGTCAACTTAGTTACACATGAACTGTTAACACATTGAACTGCTGACTGGTTTTCTGAATAGAGTAATGTATGTTGCACAACAGTCCTCGAATGTTTAAAAAAGTCTCCATGTGAACAACGCTTTCACTTGAGCTAGAAACAGAACCTATGGCCTATGCAGAGGAGTTAGATTAAACATGTACAGGTGTTTTCATATTATAGGTTACATATTTAAAATTAGAATTATCCTGTATAAATTGAAATTACATGCTTGGGGTGGGAATATTTTGAATAACACTAACTTATTTTTAAAAAAGCGAGATAGGACTTTGTGCAATGTATTTTTGTAAATGCTTTTCAAAATGTCTGTTGTTCTTTGCTGCCTACAAACGGACGAGATGCTATTGAGATGTTTAAATAAAGAGTTTTAATTTTTGAAAGCGCATGTAATATTTGAAACAGGTAATAAAGTTTCTCTTCTGTATTTATGATGACCTACTGAAATAACTGATAGTCACTAATGTCATCCTATAACAACATTAAAACTGAATAGCCATTACCCTATTGCTAGGCAGTATGTGGCTCATGAGACTCTCTGGCTTGCAGTAATAGAAAATAAAAGTTAAGGCAAAGAGGGGAAGCGTTATACAATAATGCCTGTGGTAATTACCTGCTTAGAATCATGAAAATAAAGATGTCCCAGCTGTCTAGCAGCACAGTGGACATGGTAGCATAAGCATGCATGTATAAGCTGCATTAACAAGTAAGGGTATGTTTGCCTTCATCTTGTGGACAAGGCCAGCAAGGACAGATGCTGGATGTTTGCCTCGGCAAAAATAGAGTGAGTTCCTGTGCATCTGAAGGCTTTGCATGACAAAAGTCTTACTAGTTAGTGTAAGCCAGGAAGTAGCCTATCCTCTGAGCTTGCTTGGTTTTCCCTGTGGTTCATTTGCATGTGAAATCTATTTCCCCTCCCCCCCCCCCCAAAACCCAATTTTTTCCCCCCCCCCCCCCCCAAAAGCTCACAGCTGAACTACTCGTTCACTGCTGTTGTGCAGTGAGTTGTCAAATGTGTGAGCACGTGGTCACTATGACTTCACAGTAGGGTCACTGTGGGACCCCTAACTAAGGGGCTTGCAATTGTTCGGTAGTTTTTCCCCTTCACCATTTCTGTAAAAGGTACTGTCTTGTGCTGTTCAGAACACTTTGAAACTTTTGAAGAAAAAACACCTTCATATTTATTTCATGGAAGTGTTTTAAACTTCTTAGTTTCAAGAACTCTTGCTTGAACTGGGACTTGTTTTTCAGTCTTGTCCCTCTTTGTCTCTGAGGTGCATATTAATAAAAGGCAGTTGGTTATGTTGTGAGGACTGGGTGTCAAAAGTACTGCAGAAATGCTGGAACTAGAAATCCTGTTCTAGAAATAGTCTTAATTTTCATCATGCTGCCCCTTTTCCCTGTGGGTTACTGTTGGCTATGCAATACAAGAATTGGTCTTTGCCCTAAGTGCGTGATGCTTTTTACAGTTGTAATTACACAATTGATAGGAGCTAGGCAAACATAATAAAGTTAACTTATAAACAATGTTTTTCTTCCCCCCTCCCCCCCCCCGCCACTTATAAATATTTAACCGGGAGGCCCTAGATTACCTTTGGAGGAATTAATTACAAAGTTAGCTTTGAACGAGCTGGAACAGCTTTTCCCTCTTGGAAGAGGAACCATGTTAGAAACATAAGCGATGATTACTATTTTTAAAACGGCTTCACTGAAGCGTGTACTACTTACAACCCTTGCAGGAAAGCTCTTCTAAGCAAGAAAGTAAAAATTAAGGAAAGGGGG